CCCCAAAACCCCAAAACCCCAAAACCCCAAAACCCCAAAACCCCAATAAATTTTATTGAGGTTGAATTTAAATTTTCCGTTTTCGAATTTAAAAATTTAATTTCTATTTTTGCAACATGGGAGCAGCCTCAACAAGAAGAGGGAGTTGTTGAAATCCGTGAATATGACTCCATAGTAATCAATAGTCATGAAGTATTGTTAATTACTTTAGGGAATGAAGACCAATCAGATCCTTTTGCCACTACACTACAAGGCAATAGAATGTAATTATTGCGCTTAATTATAGGCGAATTACAAAAGGAAGTATAGTTAGGAAGAAACCACTTCAAGAAATAGAGCAAATTAACATTGAAAGCCATGACACAGTTAAATATTACAATCAAGAGAATCATGAATTGAGAATGCAGACCTCTCCAGATACTAAATAAACCTTTTGAGAAAGAAAATATAAACACCTGAAATAAGACTAAAGAGTCTGAGTAATTTTAAATCTTCTAAAAAGTAGATATTGAACTATGAACAGAAGCGAAAGAGCATTATGTAAGATAAATTTCTTAAAAATTAGCAACCTACCCTGCCCAGAAAGAGTCTCTTTGATCAAAGATAATAATAACTCCTACTAAGAGTGATGCATGTCTTTCTGAGTCAGATGAAGATAATGACTTTAATTTAAAAGAAAATTACACTCAGAATCTCCATGAAGATGAGAAAGAGTGTTATAATCTCGAGCTAAGCTCACTTGTAGATGCCAAGTACTCTAAATTTATCACCAATAGGTCTTATCAGAACGAAGTTCTAGACACTTATGAGAATAGGTCAACTAGTCAATTCAACCTCTGCAAAGAAACTGAAGAAATCCCTGAAATCAAAGATCCAGTTATTATCCCTGAAGAAGATTCTCAAGGGATGGAATCTAGCAAAATTCTTGAAAATTCAGTAATGCTTAAAGGGTCAGACACACTGACCAATAATCTAGATCCTAATATGCTGCTTAGTTTTTGCAAAACTTTAGACAAATGTGGAGACACATATGATGATTATAACAAACTTCAATGCCTTGATTCTTCAAATATCTCAAATAGTAAGCAAGATCATGACTAATTGTAGTAATTTCCCCTTCGCTGAACCTCAATACTTCGGAAATCCAGAAGCGTAAGTTTTCAAGAGAAATGTGACACCATAGAACTCCTCTTTTCAACACAACAAAACTCAGTTAATCCGAATGAAAGTAGACTTCTTGAGAAATTCTCTGAGTTCAACCATCCTCAACTCGATAGCCATGAAAGTTATATGTATCTTCAAAACCAAAACAGTTTCCTTGATGAAGGTATTCTCCCAGTAATTCTTTAGAGAAATCAGAAAAGCAGCCAAAGAGTGCTATAGTCAACTTTGAAGAAACTGTCAATATCAAACTTGGCACTGTTCAACTACAGAAAGAGAAAGGACCATTTAAAGTAGATCTATCTGTTCTCCAGACAGAGCATTGGTACACAAGTTTTGGGAAAACACTAAAGCAGTTATGAAACCCTCATGAAAGAATATTGATCGAAGGAGAGCTTCACAAATATAAACCTGGGATAGATAAGATGTACATTCCTCGTTGGTGCCAGCTCACTAAGACTTCTTTCAGAGTCTACAAAAATCAAGTATCTGCGAAGGGATTTAACTCTAAGCCTCTCATAGCTCTTCCGCTAGAAATCTTCAAAGGAGTAAAATAAGGCCAGATTTAGTGTTCCAGAGAAAGGAAAGCATCTGAAATTCATAAAATCTCTTAAGAAGAATCAATTTGAAATACTCTACAGAGATGATATTCTAGACTTGATCATGAAGAACTTCCTTCATTCCAAAATAAACGAAAGACGAGATGAAGATAATATTATTGAGCTACAAGACGATGATGAGTTCGAAGAGAAAATCAGCATCCTCAAAGATAAAATCACTTCTAATGAAGCTTTTAAGGTCAGTGCAACCATGGAGACCCTTAACATTCCTTCAACTTGGAGCAATAGAGAAGGTGAATGGTTCTGTGCAGAGAAAAGATTGATGTTTAGTACCCAAAAGAGCACTGAGAGGAATAACTGGCTAAAAATTCTTAGAAAATATTTATAAATATTCAATATATGAAATGTTTTGAGGGGTTTTGGGGTTTTGGGGTTTTGGGG